CTAATTGATGAGATAAGAATGTAAAGTAGAACAAGTCACTAGGGATTTCTAATGATATGAAGCTCACAGTGACAAGTTTCAGAAAATGAAAGCTCAATATGAGCTGAGACTGGCAAGGGATATGTAGACACCTAAAATGTATTACACCTAAAAATACCTAGAGAGGTGTGATGTCACTTCCAGGTTTTCCGTGGAAATGACATCATGCCATTGCCCGATGGTGCTCCCTAGATTCCTGCCAGTTGCCAGGAATCTGGCTGGCAACTCTAGCCAGCAGTATGATTGAGCTGCAAAACAAAACAAAACTAATACAATTTTAAGTTGTACTTGTAGAATTATAGTATCCAAGTCAATGAGAAACCTCCTTGAGTTGCTGTGGTCAGTGGGAAAGGTGGTAAATACTTCACTAAATCAACAATTCTAGTGTGTGCCATGTTGAGAGCCAGTTTGGTGTAGTGGTTAAGTGCGTGGACCCTAATCTGGGAGAACCGGGTTTGATTCCCCACTCCTCCACTTGCACCTGCTGATGTGACCTTGGGTCAGTCACAAGCGCTGGCACAGCTGTCCTTGAAAAAGAGCAGTTTTTGTCAGAGCTCTCTCAGCCCCACCCACCTCACAGGGTGTCTGCTGTGGGTAGGGGAAGGGAAAGGAGTTTGTAAGCCGCTCTGAGACTCCAGGTGAAGGGCTAGGTATAAATCCAATCTCTTCTCTTCTTCTTCTTCATCAGGTATCGATCTCTGCTGCTTCAGTTGTCTCGGGTTCCTTCACACAGCCCCTTTAAACAGCCTGTATGAGGGAGCCTGAGACAGCTGAGTCGGCAGGGAGAGGTCTGTAGAAGCTGCAGTCTACAGTACAGTTCTGGGGTACTACACTTTAAAATGTAGACAAATTCGAACAGGTTGAGGAGCAAAAAAAAAAAAACCGAGAGGAAAGGTTGAAAGAACCAGGTATGTATTAACAGAAGACCGAGGAGGTATACAACATTCTTCAAATACCTGAAGAGCTATCACATAAAAGTGGGCAAAGACTTGTTCTCTGCTGCTCCAGGAGTCAAGACTAGATCTAAGGGCTTTAAATTACAAGACAGTAGATTTCAGCTGAATATTGGAAGAAACTTCCTAATAGTTTTATATATTTATACCTCGCCTTTCTCCCCAATGCAGTCTCAAAGCAGCTTACATCATTCTCTTCTCCTGCATTTTATCCCATTAGACAGGCCAAAGCTCACTCAGCAAGCTTCCAGAGCAGCGTGCGAGGCAAACCTGGGTCTGCCAGATCCTAGGAACCAACTTCATTAAGCATTTAGTGCCTGCACTGAGCAGGGGTTCATATTAGACTATAAAGCCCTCTTCAATTCTCAGATTCTAATAAAGGTTTACATACATGCCACGAACAATATTAACATGCCATTAACAGTACTTGCTATGAAGATGATCTTTAATATATTACTCTAGAACACATAAAGCTGCCTTATGCTGAATCAGACCACTGGTCCATCAAGGTCAGTATTGTCTACTTAAGACTGGTGGTGGCTCTTCAGTGTCTTATGTCTTTTATATCACCTGCTGCCTGATCCTTTAACTGGAGGTGCTGGGGATTACACCTGGGCCTTCTGCAAGCCATGCAGATGCTCTACCACTAAACCACAGCCCCTCCCTATACACATTACAGCCATATGATACTACATTAAAACTCCTTTGATTGTACTTTACAAAAGTTCTGATAACTATTTGATCCAAAAACAAGTGTTAGATTTTGGATAGATGAGGCACTGGGCTAATACAACAAAGACATGAGGGGGTGGATCCCAGAACCTGCTCTGCTCACAGTGTTTTTGCTGTTTTCTCTTATGGTGACCGAATGGACAGCTATGCCGTCTTATGTATGTCGTATTTCAAATTATCTAAATTGTTTTTAATTTGTTAAATTGTTTTATTATTTATGAAGCCAATATGGCCTTGTTAGCCGTCCTCAGCCTGCCTTAGCAGGGAGGGCGGGGTATAAATCAAATAAATAAATAGTGTTGATGCAGACCCAAATCGTAAACCAACAAGACAAGAGGTTGGAGAGAGGCAGGAGATAGTGTGTTCACCTGCTGAAAGGAGAACTAAACTTCTATCCCACCCAGTTGTTTATATAAAAGGAGAGCAGACATTATCAAACAGTTACAGTACTGCTAAAAAGCCAAAGCTAGATTTTGCTTTAATTTCATATACAGCCAGTATGGTATAGTAAATAAAGTGGCAAGGGAGGGGCTGAGGCTCAGTGGCAGAGCCATCTGCTTGGCACTGAGAAAGTCCCAGGTTCAATCCTCAGCATGCAGGCTTGTCGCTTTATTCCCCTTTCAGGCTTTTCTTCTTTTTATTCCCCTTTCTCTTTTCCCCTACTTTCCCCCTCAGGTTTTTCTTCATTCCTGTTTATCCCCCTTCTGCAATTATTTTGCAAAGTGAGGTGCTGTGTTCAGCTCTGCCTCTTGTAGCAGCTATTTTGGGGTGGCGCTCACCCTCATCCCTCAAAATTTCAAAAATGCCCACAGGCTTGAAGAGGTTGGGGATCCCTACAATAGATAAAATAGATCGATCCCTAAAGCATCATTGGGAAAATACTGTGAAAGCAGTTAAAAACTCCAGTTAGGAAAGAGAGCATTTGGAACGACTTAAAATCACTACAGATAGCCATGACAACAGTTTTAACAGTTTGCATTTCTACAGCATATTCACTTTAGATGGAACCTTGTAACAAGGCCAAGACACCGCAGAAGTTTAGTGCAACATTAATTTCCTCACTGCAGAGAATGGTTTCCAGACCAAAGATTTTACTCCTAGCATGAAGGCAATCACAAACATTTCCCATAAACAGGCTTAATTATGTTAATATTAATAGCAATATTAATTTTTTATTCATGGGAACAGAAAACAAGACCACTACCACTATTAACTGTTAATCTTGCTAAGAAAGCATTTGATGTGTGTAATGGTTTCCATACTCCATGACTTCATGGGAATCCATTTACATGCAAACTCTTGAAATCAATCTCTATGACAAGGTAAGCTTTTCAAAAGCTGAAATCTAGTTTGATCTCCTGAGCACATGTTGACCTCAAGGATAAGAAATGGCTTATAAAAGCTGGGGATGCATGAAAAATTGATGGGAGGGAGTAGATAAACAATTGGGAAATATGCCCTCCACCCAGAAACTCCTTGTCATTGGATGACTCAAGTTCATTGTCCTACTAACAGGTAGACAAGCTGGAGGCTCACAGAATCATTGAAGTGGGGGAGACACTAAGTGACTTTGAAATCTTCTTCTTGCTCAACAAATACAGACAATTCTTTTCCTACAGAATTCTATAAACGGTCAGGGGCCTGAGTGGGCCAACTCCCCCCCCCTTACAATTTGTCTCAACATTCCATGCCTCCTACAGCATTCTTAGCCTCATCAGGCTGTTGTGGGTGGGATGGGCTTTTTCTCTTTTGGTTAATTTACAATTCACACTCAGTCTCCTCAGTATGCAGAAATCCTAACTTACCTTGAGTGGCCCGCTTTGTTGTATTCAAAACTGGTGTGAACCACCAGTCTTTCTGTCAATTACAGAAATACTGACAGAAAGAAAATGTGTAATAAAGATAGAGAGTTCTAGATTACTTTATAGCCTGCACATTTTGTTACTTCTACCTTTTTCTTGTAAAAAAAATATTCATTTGATATCAAGAGACTTAACTCAAGCCACAGGTACTGACAATGCGGGGTTTGGAGAAGCAACAGTGCTTGCAAAATATTCCATATTGATTTTTTTTAGAAACCATCTCCAATAATCACTCTGGAAGGATATTGACAAGAAAAGAGTCCTTGCATCTTAATCAAATTAAAGCAAATTATTTAAGTTCTCCCCAAATATGTTACACTGTACTGAAATCTCTGGCTTTGATATTAACCATTTCTTCCATGATTCATGACTCCCATTACTAGCTACCAATTTATCCTCCCACATCCCCACAAACAGAAATTCATACGGGAAGGCAGGCAGCAATGGGAAGGGGAATACTGAGATCTTTCCTTTGAGTGAAACGTACAGAGTTTAGTATATTTCTGTTCTACTTAAATGAGATGCTATTGAATCATAGCACTTGTAAAAATTCCATTAATTGAAATCACTGCCGTGCATCCTACTACTTTCTGTGGAGGAAGACACATTTAAGGCCTCAAATATTGTGGAGCAAAATGGTAGGATACACACCAGTATCCCCACAGAATGTTGGATAACACATTCCTTTTCCTTAAAGACCTGACATGAACTCCCAAAACTGACTCTTAGCTTGTCTGTAATTGGCCTTTCAACATATAAGAAGCAGCTTCCTCTTTCGTATCCTTCACAAAACTTTGCTTTGAGTCAGAACAGAATCAGCAAATAATGCCTAATAATGTTTTGTTGCACTTTCAAGAGGGACACTTTATCTAAACTACGGCATTAATTAAGGCAGTGTTTTTATCATGAAATGTTTTGCCAGTTAAATGTCTTTCATATTTCAGTAGTCTGGATATTAACCCTCTCCATCTACCACCTGTTCAAGCATACAGGTATTCCTTGGCTTTATTGAAACATTTATACAAATCAGACAGTGGTGACCTAGATATGTAACCCACTCTTCCTCGCAAGATATTCCAAGGAGAATAGCCCATGGAAACTTACACCAATGTGATAACTGATTCTCCAGCGTTTTCTGCTAACCTCCCCCATGCACAGAAGTCATTCCACAAAGTCATTGAGAAGTCAAGGGAATTCACTTTCCGGACTTTTAACAAGTACGCTTAATTCATTTAAAGCTTCTGTCTCACTTTTGCAGCACTTATGACTCTGATATTTAATTTATAAAGGGTCAATTTTAATTATCTAACAAGGAAGAAATCTACAAAACACTGAAACACTCTCTCCATAAAATGACACATGTAGTAACATTTATTTCACTGAAAACAGATATGTAAGTCAAGGTCAGCCTCACCTCATCCCACTCTGAAGCAAAGGAAGGTGATTTCTCCAGCCTTTTTTTGCCAGCACTACAATTGGAAAGTGATTCACTTCTGCTCCCCATAGTATCGTCTTCTGTTGGTGAAGTGGTCAAAAGGTCAGAGTCCGATTTTGACAAGCTGCGGCTAAGTTTGAGTTCTGATCTGGGCTTGCCTCCTGGGTGGACTCTGCCCACAGAACAACTCTTGTCTCCTTCCTCAGCACCGGCAGGATGTTGTGGCAAGTGAAGATGTGCTAAAGTTTCAGGATCCAATTTGTCACTTATATGGCAGATGGTTGAATAGACCACTTTATTTTGGTCTGCAGTGCTAGTCTGTACCGTTCCAGATGCATCAACATCTTCCAGCTGCATAGCAGTCCCTTCTGTACTTCCTTTACCAACAGCAGAAATGAGTCTGAAAGGGTCCTCATTTATTTCACATACCGGAGAAGAACCATGCAGTAGACCTGAGAACTGATCCAGTACTTGGACATCCTGGGCATCTGCTTGACTGTGGTTACTGATGCTCCTCCTCTCGTCTTTGGAAGAAAAGAGACAAAACACACATGTGCAAAAAAAATCAAGAATTAAAGCGCAAACTCCCCTCCTCAAGAGAGAGAAATAAAGAACAGTTCAGTATTGTTCCAAGTGCTCAAATTGTACCCAAAGTCAGAGCATTTATGAAATTCCAAACACTGGCCTGATTTATGCAATCTGGCAGCCCGCTCCGTTTCTTTTTATTCCTGTTAACACTAACAATCAGCCCTTGCTATATAAGGTTTGGAGAAGTGTTAACTGTACTCTGCAGAGAGAAGCACACAGGCTGAGACTCCTGGAACATGAGATATTTCCATAAAGGCCAAAGTGTTATTTAGAGCAGCACTCCCTACCCTTGGCAAAGAGCACTGGGTGGGGAAAAAAACTGAGCTGCAAACAACGTGCAAGTTTGAAAACATTCCCCCTCCTCCCCACAGCTGTTTCCTTCCCTAGTGGCTCAAACACCTCCTTATGCAAGAGAAAGAAGGGCTTAGCAGTGAGTTTAACTCCACCAAACCCTCCCTTCTTTTTAACTAATTCCTCTGCATAAAGTAGCTTGTCCTACTTCTACAGTATTCTGCTTGCAATAGAAACTATCACTGAAATGTGACTCCATTATTAGACTCATTTGTACTATGTTGTATCAAATACCATAAAATATAAGCTGATTTAAATTACCTCAGAAACTCATAGCAAGGAACATTTACAAGAAACTACCATTACCCCATTTCCCTGTATTTCCTGGGATGTTTAATACAGGTTACAACCAAAAGCCACACAAGCCAGGACTTGTGAAGTTCAAAGCCTTCTCACCATTCTTTTCAACAGAGCAACATTATCCACACTTTAACACCTGACCATGAGATGTTCCTTGAAATTCACTGGTATCAGCTATACTTGGCTCCAGGATATGTTTCAAAATATTACTTTTTAAAAAGTGTACAAGCTTCAAATATGTAGTGCCAAATGTTTTGGTACCAGTGGAAACAATCCAGTCTCAGAAACAATTTGAATTTCCAATGCTTTCAACAGAAGCATGGAAGTAAATGAAATAAAAGGAGTTTTATTTGGATGAACTGTTCCCAGTGACAAACCAACCAATGTGGTAGAATACAATTAGTAAAACTTCCTTCAATGAAAAAAATGTTCTGTTCTGAACCACTGATTCTTTTCTGCTGCATACAAAGTAGCCCATAGCTTTGGCAAGCAAGATTATGATAGTTAAGTTACCTCCACAGTCTCCTTAGATCTTAAGCCACAAGTGACATACATTTAATAAATATGAACCCATCTGTCTTATTTGATTTTAAAACCATCTATATCCCACTTTTTATATGTTCACAGTGGTTAACAATTATTAAAAAACAATTTGTACATATAAAATCCAACTACAGATCTGCCTAATCCAAAATTCTCATAACCACAAATCATAAACAATCATCATCTGATAATGCCAGTGCCCTGCATCACTATCCAAAGGCCTTCTTAAAAACCCATGACTTACATACCTTAAAGAGTTGGGAGCTGATGCATTTCCTCTGGGTTACCATCCCACATTTGTGGAGTTATAGCAGAAAACACTCACTCTTAACTGAAGCCAGCAGAACTTCCCAATGAAAAGGAATAGCAATTTCTGAGCAGATCTCTGTGCAAGCTAGGGCCTATACTAGGAGGGTGGTTCCAGCACATGAAGGGTTTTTATAGGCAATGATCAGCACCTTGAATTGAACCCAGAAACAAATCAGTAGCCAGTGCAGCTGTTTTAAAACTGGAATAATGTGCTCAAACCTACTTTGGTAAGCAGGTGAGGAGCTGCTGCATTCTGTACCAACTGGAAGTTTCTGGGTCATCCTCAGGGGCAGCCCCACAATGAGCTTGTTATAGTAAACCAGCCATAAGAATGCAGTAGCATGGGAATAGCATGGCCAAATCAGCTGAGTCTAGAAAGAAAGCCTGTCTCTTCACTCAGTGCAAGAGCTCCATAACCTGCAGCTGTTTATCGAACAACCATTGAGAATTTAGCAAAACTCTTTTCACATGGTCTCAAAATGACAGCTTTAAACTGTCTAAAACAGATAGATCAGTCTTGCTAGAACATTAGCTCCATCTTGTCTGGATTCAGTTTCAGCTTATTAGTCCTCATCCTCTTGATCACAGCATTAAGGCTGTAGTATTAATAGGAGAGGACTGCATCTGGAGGCTTCATTAAAGACAGACAAAGCTGGGCATCAGCATATTGGCAACACTCAACCCAGTGCTCCAGGTGATCTTATTCAAAGGCCTAACAAAACCATCAGAGATACACTAGAAACCTGAAGCAACATATTCACATTTCTAATGGAAACTCATAGCATCTGATAAAAAAGATCAAAACAAGGGGAATGACATGCCCATAAACGCCATCTCCTTCTCTAAAAAAGAAAATGGCTGCACTTCTATTCACTTGAACCTCTTAAGTTCACCCACCAGTGTGATTAAAGCGCTCTCTCTCTCTCTCTCTCTCTCTCTCTCTCTCTCTCTCGTGACACATTTTCTATTTTTTTAAAAAAATGGGATAGCAGCAGGGGTCTTTCCATAGAAAAAGAGCTGCAGGAGCTCATTAGGATATGGTATGCTAATGAGCTACTAGGCTATTAGCATATGCCACACTCCCTGACATCACCAGAAGTGATGTCAGAAGGGGAAGCAAAAGGGTGGGAGGCATCTTCAAAAGCCTCCCCTTCCCTTCCCCAGCTGGCCTGAGGGGGGGGAGCGCGAAAAGAGAAGGGGTTTAAAGTTTAAACCCCTTCTCACTAGAGTTGGGCCACAGTAGGAGGAAAGAGGGAAAGAAAGAGAGTGGAGAGAAGAAAAGAAGGAAGGAAAGAGGGAAAGGAGGAAAAAAGAGAAGAGAAGAAAGAAAGAAAGAGAGAGAGAGAGAGAAGGGAAGAAGGAGTGAAAGAGGAAAAGGAGAGAAGGAAAGGAGGCTCTCCCACCCCCCCATCAAGCCCCCACCCCCGCAGATCCCTTACTTACCACTTCGGTGAGGGGCTGGGGAAGCCGGTGGCGGGGCTCTCCTGGCGTCCCCCAAGCCGCAGCGCTCCTGCGTGGGCTCAGGGGATGCAGTGGGGCTCTCCTGCCATCCTCCAAGCCACAGTGCTCCTGCGCGGGCCCGGGGGACCCGGCGGCGGGGTTCTCCGGCCTCCCCTGAGCCGCAGTGCTCCTGCGCGTGCCTGGGGTACGCAGTGACGGGGTTCTCCGGCCTCCCCCGAGTTGCAGTGCTCCTGCGCGGGCCTGGGGCACGCGGCGGTGGGGTTCTCCAGCTTCCCCCGAGCCACAGCGCTCCTGTGCAGGTCTGGGGAACGCGGCGGTGGGGTTCTCCTGGTGTCCCCTGAGGATGCGGCGGCAGGGCTCTCCAGCCTCCCCCGAGCCGCAGTGCTTTCGGCACGGGGAGCTAGGGGCGGGGCTTGCCGCCGCTGCCATTAGCACAGGCTCCTGGGCTGCTGGAGCAGTACTCCAGCCCCAAAAGACCCCTGGATAGCAGCATCAGTAGCTTATCAGCCACAAATGTGCTCATTGCACCAATGATATCTTGGTACCATCCAAATTGCTTTAATAGATTTACATAGTAGTCTTGTGAAATTCAGAAAGTACGTAACACAGACACAAGCCTGCAAGTACACTTACACTACAAACACTTCTTATGAGACAAGCTTCTGAATTATTTTCCTAGCAGGTCTGGATTCATTTCCTTCCCTCAAACACTATTGCAAACACTTTATAACTCATGCAAGTCCTTCTGTTCAGTAATGGAAAAGCCAACACAAACCAGAATAAAACAACCCAAAGATACAATACTGACTACAGAAAAAGGTTTACATACAGACTAAGACTAATCCATTCAGCTATGCACACGTACACATACAAATGAAGAAGAAAGGGATAAGACAATGCTTTTAGTGTGTTACTTCTGATAGCCCTGTGCACAATGATGTTATATGCCATTAGGATTCTTGCCTTTTTCATATTTGTGACATGTTCTGGTGCAGATCTGCAAGATTTCCTTCATAAATCTTTCCAGGCAAAACATAAAAATGTCCTGTTCCACAGCATGTCCATGGCAATTGTTGAGAACATTCTATTGACTATAAACAGATTCACAGTTCAACTTAGTAAAAGAAGATAGGTAATACACAGAAGACTCCCATCTTATCCTGTGGACAAGATGGAGGGAGGTTGTGCTACATATGTAGTTTACATATTGTAGTCATTTTGTGTAATATGAAATAATCTCATGTAATATGTAGTATTAGTAGTAATCTATAATATGAAGAATCTTAAACTTAGCTGGCATATTATTTTGCACATAATTTACTGCATTGGTAGCATTCTCACATACTTATTTCTTACCTTATTAACGTGCTATAGTTAATACTTTAGTAGTTGTGCAATTAGAGTGTAGACAGCAGCTGACAGTTTATGTTGTTTGTTGGAACACTGCTATCCCAAAGACAGCAATGAAACCCAACAAAGCAGCCACTGTTCAAATGGAACAGTGGCTGTGCTTTCCATCTCCTGAAAGCAAAGCATCAGCAAATACAAAAATAGCTTTTGGCAACAAATTCTTGAGACATTTGCAAGCATTTTAGCTATGCTGTGTGTTTTAAACCCCAGAAAATGCTTTGCCTAAATAAAAGTTGCACACCTGTTTCTCTGTGTACATGTATAAGAAATTTGAAAGATTTAGAAACCAGAAACGTACCTTTTGAGACTTCTATCAAGTGTGATTCAGGACTCTGTTGTTCCGAATGGCTAGAAGAAAGGTCAGAAGAATCTTGGCAGTTCAGTGGCCACTGGCCATCCTGAGAAGGCAAACCCTTTCGTGGCCAGGCCTGCAAAAAAACTTATATTACTTACATTTCATCACCACGATCAGAGCAGTATCTGTCAATGCTCAGATTCTATGTCTGTAGTTACTTTTCGCGAAACTAAGATTTATACATTCATATTATACCATATATTCCTCTTCCAAGAAGATTATACAAGTGGGCTCTGACAAACAGAACTGAGTAAATGAAAGGAAATGGTAAAAGAGTCAAAGATTGGATTATGAACAAGGTCAGGGGAACAGAAAATAGCTGTGGGAAACACTGAAGCCCTGCCTTCCTGTTTTGAGCCTTCAGAGGCTGCCTATGTATTTCCAAGTTTTTTCATTATAATAATAAAGACACAAGTTTTTTTTAAAAAGCAAGAGATCCTCAGCATGCCAAGTTCAACAACAGGTGCTGGATTCGATGCTTGCACACTGAGTCTTCAGACACTGTTCACAGCCCCAGGCATACTACCTGTTTCTTAATTAAATGTTACATTTCCTTTCTGGGTGGCCCATTACTGACCTCCCTGAGTACACATTTACATAGAAACCTTCAAAATAGTATTAGCATGATTAAACACAAAAAAGATACAAAGTATCCATCTCTTTTGAAAGACAGTGTGGAACTGACATTGAGATTTTCCCCTTGATTTGAATCAAGGACCAACCATGGATAGCTACAGACTATTTTCACTGAAAAGTTAGTTTCGACAGCCCCTGTACTTTTCTGCATGTTTTACAGAATAGAATAAAGAAATGCTAGAAAACTGTGTGATGTATTCTCTTTGGCAGAGATCTTCTTTGGTTCCTATAGCCCAGCGGTTCTCAACCTGTGGGTTGCAACCCCTTTGGGTTTCGAACGACCCTTTCACAGGGGTCACCTAACACAAATTTTCGATGGTCTTATATGATAGCAACGAAAATAATTTTATGGTTGGGGGTCACCACAACATGAGGAACTGTATTAAAGTGTTGGGAACCACTGCTATAGCCACTTTGGTTCATAATGTATATCATGGGATTGAAATAAGTATTATTAATACCATTGTACAGTAGCAAACCATATCCATTTATGACATGCTCTCTCCAAACAGATATGGATTGCTAGGACACAACCACTATTATATTTCCTATGACATTTCCAATTCAACAGAATTGGGAACTTGAAAACTAGCAATGGGCCTATTAGTACAGAGGTCTGTATTACTGAACCTCTTTCTTAAAGAGGATGCTCTCTTCTCCTTATTTTCTGACTTCTGTCCTTTTGCAATATCTTCCTCAATATCAGTCATCCTTAACTTTCTGAATTTCAGCCCAAATGCCATCTTCAGATATAACAAAGCAGACGAATAGTCTATAGTCAGCCTTCTGAGTGCTTTACAGAGTCATTAAAATTTAATTCTCAGGTCTCTGCAAAACCTTTAATGAACAGCACCCCTCTAAATCATATCAGTTATCTGAGTTTGGAATGACATCTTACTGATGCACAGTGACTGAACAGC